TGTCTGTGTGGGCTGTAGGGGCCTGGGGTGTCTGTGTGGGCTGTAGGACTGTTGTTTTCTAAAGCTGCAAAGGAGATGGTGATTGTATGAAATAACTGTTTGTGGGAGTCTTACAAGTTGATTGGTGAAGCTAACAGGCTCTTAGGACTGTGCTTTTTTTCTTTTGCTATCCTTAGGCATCACTGACATGAAAGACAGCAGTCTGACTGCTGATGCTAACTTTAATTCTTCATTTTGATACATGGTAGGAAAAGCCATACTGTATTGATTCAACTCTACTTTTTTCACGTGAGGGTAGATAGTAATTTTCATGGTGTTTTGTTTTTCATGGGAGTCATTAGAAAACATAATGTAATCTCAAGCATTTTTCTTATTTTTTTCTTTTTTTTAAGCTCAAGGACCATTTTATTGGGCCTTAAGATTAAAAATGACAGGAAAGTTACACATTTTGGTAGGTGCTTGAAAGAAGGCGATAGTGTTGTGTCTTCTGAGATCAGGTTCAAGAAGTCAGGCTCAGAGTGGGATTCTGAGAGAGTCTTGGGATGTGAGGAGCATCTTGAGAGAAGTGAAAATGAGAGCACCCCGGGTGTTAGGACAGGATGGTCTAGGGGTTCAGCCGGCATCTGAAGAAAAGATGGGAATGGAAATAGAATACGCTGCAGGTGTGGAGGTGGAGCTCGGAGAAGTGGAATGCCCGCTGGTGAAGAGCTGGCAGCAACTGCCATGGTCTGGGTATGGTTTTAATATTAAATTATATTCTCTTTTTTCATTTAACGTTTACATCTGTCTCTTGAGAAGTACTGGTTACTCTGCCTTTGACATGGCTGAGGAGTGAGAGGATGCAGGGTCAGGGTCACAGTGCACACCTTTCATCCCAGTGCCTGGAGGTCAGCCCAGGCCTCACAGTAACCTCTGAACACTGCGCTTAGCGTGAGAATTCTGGTTGTACAACAGGGAGCAAATGAACTCTGAAATTTTAGCTTTGGAAGACTAAGTAGAACATTTTTTTTGTCTTGAATTTATTTACTATATTAATATTTAGCATACTTAATAATTTATTGTATTACTGTTCAGGTGACTGCCACTGCCCTATCCTTTTTTGCAGCCTTAAACCTGAGCCAACAGGGAATCACCATTGCTCATAAGCATTTCTCCTTTCAATGAACCCTTTAAAGTGTCTTTAACATTTGAGCTGTTGCGAGGGTGCAGCCTTCTTAGCAGAGTGCTTTGTCTTATGAGGTTATTGTTGTCATTTCCCAGTTGAAAACTTTAATGTTCCCTTTGTGCTTCGCCTTTTGTTATTCACTCATTCAGACATTTCTGTGTGTGCACTTCTGTGTGTGCACTTGTGTGTGCACTTCTGTGTGTGCATTTCTGTGTGTGCACTGTTTAAGACATAGTCTCTCTGGGCAGCAGTGACTCGCACCTTTAACCCCAGCAGTGGGGAGGCAGAAGCAGGCCAATCTCTGTGAGTTTGAGGCCAGCCTGGTCTACAAAATGATTTCCAGGGCAGCCAAGGCGACTTGGTGAAACCTTGTCTTGGGAAGGAAAAGCCACAGTCCCAGCTGTGGTTGATGGTCTTAGGTAGACCCTTGCTCATCTTCTCTAGTGTACCGAGTGCACTTGTTAGGTCTTGGATGTAGTTTTGCTGATTGCCTGATTTCTACTTCATGCCCACAAACTTTTTTCATTTCAAAGGTTACAGCCTTAGTTTTTAGATAGGGCAAATGTCAGCTTGAACTTCAGAACGTGTTTTGCAGTGGAGACGTCATATTTAGTCACATTTTAGTTGTGCCAGGTCCTAACTCCTTTTCCAGAGGTGTTTTATAAAAGATAATTTATGAGCATTTAACTCGACATTACAGTCGAATAATACCAGTAAGTGCTGACATTTAAGTGCTGTGGTGCATCTTCATACAGTTCACACACTGTCCGACTGCATGTGAAGCCCTCCAGGAATCAGTGCTGCTCCTCACGTCACAGGGAGGGAGGTCATGGGTTGCTAGGGGCTCACACTAAGGAGCAGATTGGGCTTGGCCAGACTCCCTGACTCCTGCTGAGCTCTTGGCTTAGGACCCTCTGCCCTTTGACATGGCATTTCTAGCATAAAGGAAAAGGGCATTTTACTGTCTCAAACAGGGAGACCTGTGAGTGTATAGAGCTAATGGGAGAAACATAGCCACATTTTAAAAATAATGTTATCAGGAGAAAAAAGCAATAAGTTATCAGGCTAGGCACTAAATACTGAATTTGTATAAATTCAATAATTCAAATTTTAAACTGATGGCAAAGCTCTGGCTGGCAGAATATATCTGCATTATCTAAGCATGACCTTGTAGACTTTGTGTTGTTAAAAGAGCATGTTATGAGCCAGCAAAGGAGGGAAAATGTCAGTGTAGAGGTTTAAGGCCATTGCTTAGAATCTGCTCATAGGGGCTGGAGAGATGACTTAGAAGTTAAGAATACTGACTGACCTTCCAGAGGTCCTGAGTTTAATGCCCACCAACCACACGATGGCTCACAACCATCTATAATGAGATCTGGTGCCATTTTCTGGTGTGCAGGCATACATGCAGGCAGAATACTCTATGCATAATAAATAAATTAAAAAAATCTCCTCATAGAAGATGGGGCTTCCACTCCTGAGCTCCTCTTCTCTGTGCTGTGTGCTTTGCTCCTGGGGCACCTGCAGCATAGTGGCAGCAACTCTCACTAGCGCTATAGGCTCAGCTGTGGCCACAGTGATGGCAGCTGTCAGCTCAGGTGCAGTCCCAAGGGCAGGATACTTGTCCTGTCACAATGACAGGGCAGCATGTATAGGAGCAACCACCAGCAGATGCCAGGTGAGGCTCCTTGCATCTGATGGCTACTGTCCCGAAGGTGGTGACTCCCCAGGGGTTTCTTGTTCACTCAAACATCTGAAAGAAACTTTATCTGTAGATAAACTGGAAACTGCTTTATGCCACAGAAAGAAAATTCTCTGAACTTTGGAGAAATGTTTTAGAATAAATATCTATAAACACTAATATAGAACAATCCAAGCACAAAATTTGTGATTCTGATATCTATTCTAGAATGGAAAGGAAATGTCTTTAAAATACATCATTAGAAGCCAGGCTATACCACAGTAACAGTCTGAAAATCCCAGGAATATAAAGTGGCCAACCATTTGGTCCAAGCCTCACGCCTGGTTCAGGTTATTAAGGGTTTAATTATTTAGTCTGGCTAATAGAGCCAGCCCCATCCCCATGTGGCATGTGCTTCCAGGAATTTAGATGAAGGGGAAAGAGAACATGGTGTCATTTAAAGCTGGTATTTTGGGCTAATGTGATTCAGTGGGTCAGGGCACTTACTGCTCTTGCAGAGGACCCAGGTTTGGTTTTCACCTCACACACAGTGGGTCACAACCATCTGTCTGGCCGTTCCAGGGGATGCAGTGCCCTTTTCTGGCCTCTGTGGGCTCCTGAGTGCCTTGAGCACACAAGTCACTTATCCTCAGCACTTTAACCGTTATTTTAACTGCACTCCGTTCTAAACAAGCTAAGAGCAGCACTGATCAAAGTGGTTTGGCATGCCTTTTCAGCAAGATGGCAATAGAAAATACCACCCTGGGCCTATGACCTCATCAGCCATAGGCTTTGGCCAAAGTTGGCAGTACTCGGCATGAATTCCATGGTAGAGGAGATGTAAACCCTTTATTTTTTTAAACTAGTTGTAAGACCTCAGTCTTCATGATCAAACTTCAACATCTTGATTGTAAGAGCGCTCTTTCCTGTTCTTTTGTTTCCTTGGCAGTCAGGGATAAGTGTAGCTGCATGAAGGGTCTATGTACATAAAGAAAAGTGTCCGTCCTCCTCCGCGGCCAACCCTCGTCATTCAGGGTCTCTCCCATAAGTGTGCGTACACTTCAAGGACAAGAAAAGTCAAGGATGTGAAAATCAGATGTGGGAGTGAGCATCATGTATGATTTTAGCCTTGCATTGCTGCCTGTGAGATAAATAAACCTACATTTTCTTAATTTTGTGTTAAGTTAAAATATGCTAATGCTAATGAAATTGTGGGTACAGATCCAAGTACGACCAAATCTGTTGTCAGGAGCAGTGTCTCTCATATGTCTGGTGTTGTCAGGAGCGGTGTCTTTCTTATGTCTGGTGTTGTCAGGAGCAGTGTCTCTCTTATGTCTGGCTGGTCTAGACACTAGAGTAGTTTTTCTTCTCTGTTTCTCACCTGCCTCCTCTTTTCCCTGCCCACAGGAGTTACTGTTGGCGTAAGAGTTTCCAGAACAGTTTGAGCCATGGCTTCAGCAGTCCTCAGCTCTGTTCTCACTACTGCCTCTCGGTTTGCCCTGTTACAAGTTGATAGTGGCAGTGGTTCTGATTCTGAGCCTGGAAAAGGCAAAGGCCGGAATAATGGGAAGCCTCAAGCCTTGGGAAACAAACCAACTCCAAATGAAAAAAAGAGAGAGAAAAGAAGAAAAAAGAAGGAGCAGCAGCAGAGTGAAGCAAATGAGGTAGCTGTTGGGTCCTTGTCTCCCTGGGGCTGAGTGGAAGCTGCACTGCTGTGGCCACTGCACCCTGTGCTGGAGCAGTGCCGCTTGCTGAACAGAAACCTGAAGTCAAGTGTGGTGAGCACGTAGGAGGCGCTTTCCCTTGTGTGTGCTCTTAAGTTAAACAGAGATGTCTTCAAAGGAGCCGGCCTGCGCCTGGAGCCCAGCCTCTCAGGAGACTTAGCTAGCCTGGGCCTGGACCGCATAGTGAGACTCTGTGTGGTAAACAGATGAATAGGTTCATAAGTAAAGGGAAATAAAATCCACTCATGACTCTTGAGTTTTATAAGTTATATAATGTGTATTGCGACTAGAAATATTTTAAAATTAAAATCATTAACTGAATTTAATATATTTTGTGTTTATTTCATAGCTCAGAAATCTTGCTTTTAAGAAAATTCCCCAGAAATCCTCCCATGCCATTTGCAATGTTCAACATGAGCTTTCATTGCCAAACTCAGCACAGAAGGAGTCTCGGGAAGAAAACTGGCAAGAGTGGAGACAGAGAGACGAGCAGGTAAAGCCGAGTAAATGAAGCTGCCTGCTTGCTTCCCAAGCTGATGGGGTTTTCAGGTGGCCCCTGAGTCCGTGTCACCGTTCTACAGAGCCGCTGGTGTTGGAGGACTCCTGGATGTGCATTGTGTGGGCTAGATTTGTCTGTGCGAAACAGTTGAGTGTTTTCTCTGGTTTTTGTGGGGTTTGTTTGGTTTTTTAATTCATCTACTGTGTACAAATGAAAAGAGTGTTAGGAACATAGAGACAGATAATTAATTTTGGAGGGCTGGAGAGATATCTCAGTGGTTAATAGGCACTTGTTCAAATTTTTTAAAAAATACATTTGTAGGGACACAGATCTGTTAAAAATATCTAACAACAGTTTTGATTAAACATAAAGACTGAGGTGAGAGTTTCTTTTAACTTCAGTGTAGAACTGTTGAGGGCATGTTTGTTCTGTGATCTATTTACATGGTGTTATTCTGTATCTCTAAGTGCTTATTATGAGGGCGTACGTGAGTGAGGGAAGGGAGTGTGTGTGTGTGCGCGTGTGTGCGTGCATGCTTGCTACGTGCATAGGAAATGAACAGTGTTTACTTGCTTATTCATTAAGCTATAGTTTGGTCTGTAGGAAAATAGGCCTTATTTTCAAATATCTAGTCCGTTTAGTGAATTTTCCTACCATTCTTGTGTTACCAGTTTTAAACAAAACTGGGTGCCATAGTGCATATATGTAATCCAAGCATCTGTCCACTTGGGAAACTGAGTCAGGGAGCTCTTGAATTCTAGTCCAGCCTGTTTGGACAAGATCCTGTGTGAGAAGCCAGACAAACTAGCACAGGCAGTGCTCCAGTGTGCTTTTCTCACAAACTGTGTTCAGTGTGTTTCCTTTAGGATCTTGCATTGTCCTTGACTCAGTTTGTGAGCACCCATGCATTGGTGCCGTTGACATTTCCAGATAGCGAGGTGCTGTTGGGCATTGGTAGAGTTTACATGGTTTTCACCAGAGAGAACTTCTCCTGATTACCCAAAGGTTACTGGATGCTGATATAGGAAACAACTCAGTCACACCAAAATGAGCGCAGTCTGCTAACATGAGCACTGTCTCAGTTTTTCCCCTTTCTGCTGCCACAGTGATCAGGGAGTTCTGAAGAGAACATAGATCTCATAGTTCTATGTAAGTGTTTAGTCTGTGGCTCAGGGATTTGTGAGGGATTTGTACTGGGTGTGTTGCTGGATCACACAGAAGGACCTAGATTTTAGTTAGGACTTCTGCTTAAAGCAGATCGTCAAGATCATTCCCTGTGTCAGGACGGTCTTTGGGATTCCATCAGATAGCTGTATATGTAGCAGTGCTATTTCACAATTAATCTATTCCCTTTTCTACCTATCAAAATTATTTCTGTCCTTTAAGTATCAACATAAAATTCATTTCCAGAAAATTCTCAGTATTTCCCAATTAAAGTTCTTGTATATTTTTTTAGAATTTTAAATTTCATTCATTTTTGTTTATTTGTACACTAGTTTATGTTAATAAAAAAGTAACTTGAAGGGTAGGTCAGGGTCTGCTCGATGCTATCTTATACTTTGTCATTGCTTCTTACCATGCTCTAGGCCAATTGCCAGCGGCACAGGAGAGTCAGGACCCTCAGGCTGTTACAGTCGAGTCCAGTGAGAGTGTGACTCCTGTTCTTTGTTTGTTCCACTTTAAGGTTCATTTCTATGCGAAGACCAGCCTGGTCTATGTAGTGAGTTAGGGACAGCTAAGGATACATAGTGTGGTCCAGCTTTTCTTTGGGCCACCAGTGTAAGGGGCCGCCAGGACATCCATGGTGAAATGATGCCAGCGGTCCTGCAGCTTGGAGGTAAACAGATCCTTTTGATGCTGCCTCGTGGGCCAGAGCGCCCTGGGCCTGTATTTTGCATAACTGAGCCTTGATTCCCTAGCCTATCCCAAAACCCCGGGCTTCAGCAGAATGGTATTAACCAATCAGTATCCGGGCCTCTCCACCGTAGAAAAGCGGCTGCCTTTTGGCTTCTCTCTCTTTCTGTCTCTCTCTCTCTCTCTCTCTCTCTCTCTCTCTCTCTCTCTCTCGTCCCCTATTCCCCCTTCAACCGAATGCTCCAATAAAGTTGTGATTTGGGAAGAATTCTCGATTTCATGGTCGTTCCTGCTTGCTGGTCAAGGGGTGCGTCTCACAACACAGAGACTTAATATTAATTATGAAAGCTCAGCCTTTGGCTTAGGAATTGTCCCACTAGCTCTTGTAACTTAAATTAACCCTTATTTCTAAATCTATGTTCTATGTGGCTCGGTTACCTTTACTCTGTTTTGCCCATCCTGATTCCTCTCTGGCTGGCTGACAGTTCCCCTTTCTTCTTCCCAGAGCTCTCTGTACAGAAGTCCCTGCTCTACCTCCTGCCTATAGCTATTGGCCATTTAGTTTTTTATTAAACCAGTCACAGTGACACATCTTTACATAGTATAAAGGAATATTCCACGACAACATAGTGAAACCATCTCAAAAGAAAAAAAATTTGATTTCATTCATTTTTTGTTATTGTTTTATCAGAATTCTCTACCTTAATACTTAAATTCAGTGAGGTAATATGGAAAAATCACAATATCTTTCAAGACGTCCAGCTTCCTAACCTGTTTTGCTGTCTGGCATGCTGGGATATCATTGCAAATATATGATTCGTTAGAAATAGCCACATTTTTTTCCATAATTAAATGTTAGAAATAGGATTTTAATGGCAAATTAGTCAGCTTTGTTCAGAATAAACTAAAATTTGTTACTTTTTTGTTAAATCATATTTTTAATTTATGAACATTTTGTACTTAGCTTAGATGTATAAATTGATTTATACTTTTAAAATGTGGCTAATATATGTAAATTCTATTTTTACTTTATTATTATTTTTCATTGTCTATATAGGTTTTTTTTATATTAATGGGAGTCTTGCCTGCATGTATATATGTGCACCACATGTGTATCTATCTAGTGCTTGCAGAAGCCAGAAGAGGGCGTTGGATCCCTGGACCTGGAGTTACAGATGGTAGTGAGCCGCCAGCTGCCTTGTGGAGCTGGGAATGGGTCCTCTGCAGGAGCAGCCAGTGTTTGGAACTACTGAGTGCTGTTTCCTGCTAACGGTTAATCTGAATTGAGCTAATCTCAGCCCTGTTAGATTGTTGTGTGTGTTTACTATGGGCTTACTTGGATTTTTCATGTACTCTTGTTTATCATTCTAATTCTTACTGTTTTTCTGTTAGGTTAGTGCTTTTCTGTGTAAAGCTAACTTGTTTTGCTGTTTTTGTTTTCATCACAGGATGAGATGAGATACTTTGAAAGGGGTGATTCCAGTTGGAAAGAAAGGTTTAATTGTAGATTTCAATATTAACAGTTTTCTAGTTTTCAAGATACCCTTTTACCCTGTTGACAGAGGTTTCTACAGAGTTTAGTCTATATATTTTTAAACATTAAGTAACAAAAATATTTCTTAATAGCTTGGGCAAAAACATATTGAGGAGTGGTTAAAACCTGAAAACTTAGGCCATAGGAAAGATGGGAACTAAGAAGTTCTGGAACACCCGAGGCTAGAGCCAGCAGACCCCACTTGCCAGGGGCGACGTCAGGTGGTTAGACCTTATTGAGCCCTCTGAAGGCCATGCCTAGGAGAGCAGAAAAGAGCTGGCTCATTTCCTACCGTGTTGCTGGTGATTCAGCTTGGGTGTCAGTGTGGTGTTAGAACGGTAGGGTTGCTCACCTGTCCTGTTGAATCAAGGACGAGCAGGAGAGAAGAACTAGGAGATGTCAGTAGCACATGTAGACACAGATATGTGTACTTGGATTAACAGTGAAAGAGGAGATAGGGATTGTAGGGGTTATGCTTTCATACAGTACAGGGCTCCCAGAAGCATGGCTGAATAACTTCAGAGAACTGAGAACTTTTTCCTTTTGATTTTCAAGACAGGGTTTCTCTGTGTAGCTTTGAGGCCTGTCCTAGAACTCGTTCTGTATACCAGGCTGGCCTTGAACTCACAGAGATCCACCTGCTTCTGCCTCCCAAGTCCTGGGATTAAAGGCGTGCGCCACCACCACCCCGTGAGAAGTAATAACTTTTTATTTAAAGTGCACTCTTTTTTCTGTTCATGTATATATTATAATATATATCATGGTTATTTCTTTTTTGCATGTGTATGTTATCGTATGTCATGGTTGTTCTGAGAGTATGGTATAAAGCTGTGTTTACTTTGAACCTTCTTTGTAGCTGACATCTGAAATGTTTGCAGCTGACCTGGAGAAGGCCTTGTTGCTGAGTAAACTGGAATACGAAGAGCACAAGCAGGTACGGAGATGTTTACCGGTGTAAACATTTAGACATTTTTAAGTGGTCAAAGCTCAGGCCAGTCCTTCCTGACATATATAGAATTTCTTCTTTAGGGCTGGGATGTAACTTAGTGTTAGGCCCTGGATTCATTCCTTAGAATTACAAAAAAATAAAGTTTGCCTTAAAAACCCATGACAGGATCCCTACCTCAGATTCTGAGGGATAGAAACAAATGAGCCGTGCTTTGTCTAATGGCTTAGAATGTCAAGTTTCTCCAACCAAGATGAAAAATCAAAAGAAATAAAATTAATGCCAGATGATTTATTTTCATTTTAAAGAACATAGAATATAAATACATTTAGGAACCTTTGCGTATACTTGGTGGTCAGGTGTTTGCTTAGCACATGTGAGACCCTTGTTCAGTCATGAGTGCTTCAGTGCCCAGGAACTCACTCAGTGCCTCCCTGCCAGAGAGACATGAAGTTCAGCATGCAGCGCTCACCTCCCAGACTGTGTTCCTGAGCTCAGCGTGTGTCGCAAGCACTGGTCATTGTGCAGCTCTGATGAGAAGGATACTAAGTGGAAAGTAATGCTGGCCTTCCATTCTCACATTTAAACTGCGTGAAATCTGATCTGTGTGACATGATTCCCAGCATATGCCAGGGTCTGTTCTTCACTGGACTCCCACGCTGTAACTTGATGGTTGGTCAGAAATGCCCCTCCTGAAGTACACTTGAACGCATTAGCACGGGAGACCACTTCCTAAATATAACCCCAGTAGCACAGACACTGAGAGAAACAATTAATAAATGGAACCTCTTGAAACTGAAAAACTTCTGTAAAGCGAAGGACACAATCAACAAGGCAAAACAACAGCCTACAGAATGGGAAAAAGATCTTCACCAACCCCACATCAGACAGAGGGCTGATCTCCAAAATGTACAAAGAACTCAAGAAATTGGACACCAAAAGATCATATAATCCAATTAAAAAAAAATGGAGTACAGACCTAAACAGAGAACTCTCAACAGAGGAATCTAAAATGGCTGAAAGACACTTAAGGAAATGTTTAACATCCTTAGTCACCAGAGAAATATAAATCAAAACAACTCTGAGATTCCATCTTGCACCTGTAAAAATGGCCAAGATCAAAAACACTGATGACAACTTATGCTGGAGAGTTTGTGTGGGGTAAAGGGAACACTCCTGCATTGCTGGTGGGAGTGCAAGCTGGTACAGTCTCTTTGGATGTCAGTGTGACGATTTCTCAGAAAATTAGAAAACAACCTTCCTCAGGACCCAGCAATACCACTTTTGGGTATATATCCAAAGGAAGCTCAATCGTGCCACAAGAACATGTGCTTAACTATGTTCATAGCAGCTTTGTTTGTCATAGCCAGAACCTGGAAACAACCTAAATGCCCCTCAACTGAAGAATGGATAAGGAAAATGTGGTATGTTTACCCAATGGAGTACTACACAGCAGAAAAGAATGACATCTTGAATTTTGCAGGCAAATGGATGGAACTAGAAAACATCATTTTGAGTTGAGGTAACCCAGACCCAGAAGACAAATATCTTATGAACTCACTCATAAGTGATTTTTAAGCATAAAGAAAAGCAGCCTACAAATCACAATACCAGAGAACCTAGACAACAATGAGAACCCTAAGAGAGACATACATGGTTCTAATCTACATGGGAAGTAGAATAAGACAAGATCTCCTGAGTGAACTAGGAGCATGGGGAACATGGGAGAGAGTAAAAGGGGAAGGAGAAGGAAGAAGGGCAGCAGAGAAAAATGTATATAGCTCAATAAAATCAATTTAAAAAAAAAGAAAAAAAGAGAATTTTTCTGGCACCCGTGTACATAGTGAGATGAGAAAGTGAGTAAGATAGTAGGCCCAGGGTTTTCTTAAACACCTAGCATAGCCTAATGGCATCAAAAATTACTTAAGTATTGCTAAAGTTCATTTGACAAATGAGATAAAGCATCAGACCATATTTCCAGCTGATCACAGCACAGTGCAATCAAGTAAGTTATGCAAGAAGGAATTTCACATTTCACCCAACTTAAAATCTGGATAAATAAATTGCTTTTTTATCACAGGTCTTGTTTTTTTTCATTAATATTATGTAGATGTATTTAAGAAATAAATATACAAAATTAAATATGATAATGTATATACTTGTCTACAGTAAAGAGGTCATCATTGCACTATAATCACAAGAAAGTTTCCTAAATAAAAATCAAACATATTAAAAATGGTACCAGTCACAACTGGTTTGACTCAGGATATCTATGTTTGTCTCTACCCAACTGCTCTCTGTGGTCAGCTGTAATTTATTTAAGGGATGATGGAAGGCTGCTGTCTACACTAGCAAATAGTAGAATGTTAGCCTATAGTCTCATAACTAACAATCTTTTATGAATAATAAAATATGTACATATGTGAACAAAAGAAATGCCCCTCTCATGATTAAAACCTTTTTGGCCTTGCTGGAGTCCACTGGTGCCTCTGTCCAAGGAGAAAGGAAGAAAAGATTAAAGCCCACATCAGATGATTTTGCTATAAAAAAATAAATAAATAAATAAAACTTGCCAGCCAGGTGGCCTGTGTATCCTGTGTGCTTTATCTTCCATGCCTTTATTTCCTGTATGCTAAATGACTGAAAACAATTATGACTAAAATCAGGGCTGGGAGCGAGCTTAGTGCTTGCTCCTTAGAGGACTCAGGTTTAATTCTTAGTACAGGCATGGCTGCTTCCCTGCAGCTTCAGGCCCAGGGGAACTGACACCCTCTTTTGGTCTCTGGAGGTACTGCATACACATAATGAGTGGACACACTTGCAGCCAAAATACTCATATCCATAAAAATAAATAGTTTAAGAGAAAAAAAGAATGATTATAACCATAATAATTAGATGTCCACTTAGATAAAAATCAAGCTAATATAAAAATAAATACAACACACTTTACTGTGGTTTAGCCATTTAAATGAACTTGAAGGTTATGCTTGGCAAGTTCCTCCTTTATTTCTGAATTAATGCATAAGATTTTAATGTATAGAATATTACCATATAGTAATCACCATATAGCTGTTGCTGGATGTATGTTTTTCTGAAGCTAAAATGATTAGCTATTCAGGAGTAGAACAGATGGTGTTGATAGAATGTTGTGATCCCATCCAGTTTTCTTGCTAAATTTGTAGGCCTAGCACCCCAAAGTAGTGATTTTTGTCAGACAACAATGACTCTAAGAGAACGGAAGTGCTACTTTGTATGTAAAGGTTAGTGTGTTCATAGTGTATCAGCCAGTATTTCAGTCAGATGACCATAATAGTGTGTGTGTGTGTGTGTGTGCACGCATGTGTGCATGCGGGAACAAGTGTGTATGTTGGTGACCATATACAGTTTGTGGGGAGGCCAGAAATCAGCTTTGGAAATCTTCTTCTGTGTCTCTCCATCTTATTTTTTGAGACAGGGTCTCTGCTAAAGCTAGAGCTCACAGACTCGGCTAGATCAGCTGGCCAGCAAGTCCCAGGGATCCTCCTCTATGCCCCCCAACCCTGCTCTGGGGTCACAGGAGTCTAGCAGGTGTGATGATTTGACATGACCGGGGACTGAACGTCAATCCTCACACTTGCACATCAAATACCACTGATCCATCTCCACTTCCCACCCATGATTAGTCCCTCCTGTGAGTTTATATAACAAATAATGAAAGTTTGTCCTTCCTTTGGCCCACATCTATAATCCCAGCACTGATAAGGCAAAGATGGGAGGATTTCCATAGCATCAGGCCGGCTTGGTTTATCTAAGCTTGGGCTGCATAGTGTGTCCTAACCCAGAAGGGCAACAGAATGTACTCATGTCTCAAAAAAAGAAGAAAAGAAAAGAAAGAAAATGTGGGCTGCTGTTTTCTGTCCCCTTCCACCACTCGCTCACCAGGTGCTTAGGAAATAACCAGAGCACGGTGACCTAGGATGGGAAGATGGAGACAGCCTCAGCCTCGAGCTCAGTGCAGGACACGTAAGTGATCACCTTGAGTCTTAGCACAGTGAAGGTTCAAGCATCAGCACCTCAGTGCCTCCCAAAAAAGATTTCTTGAAGTCTTACTAGATGTATTAGCTGTCTGCAGAGCAGCCCAGAGAGAAGTAGGCCCTCTGAGGGAAGACAGACAAAAAGACACACAGGTAATGTGTGAGAGAATGTGCTGTGTGAACTGTGGTCGAGTGACCTAGGAAAGCTTCGCTGTGGAGAGGAAGGAAGGCATGGCGTCAGAACAGACGTGGACTTCCTTCTCCTAAGACACTGCTATTTTTATCTTTTAGATTGATTGCAGGTTTTTATTTTAGAAACTCAAAAGTATTACAGAGGTGAAATTAGAGACCATCAGTGTCCAAGCAAGAGAGGAGGAAGGAAATGATGGAAATACAAAGGACAAAGAGATCCTTAGGAAATAAACTCGCTGAGCTAAGACGTAGTAACTAAC